TAATACTTCTAATAATATATTGTTTATGTAGAATGGTTTTTTTCTTTTTGGACTATGATTGGTGCACACCTGGATCCAACACCCGGGTATGCACCCTCAAATCTTTAATTTGATTAAAGTTTTAGATTATCAATTAAGACATCTTTTGAATAATCTACTCCTTAATAATGATAAATTAATGAACACAAGTGGAATATTTAAAGAAAGATGGAGTTGAGTTTGGCTTTTCAAAGTGGGGAGGAAGAGGAGAAGATATAGTTGATATTTTTTGTGGTGATGTGGGATTGGATAAAGATGATGGAAAAGTGACCCATAACTTTCTCTTCAAACTACTTCCAAACACTGATTCATACAAAGTTAATTTGCCAGAGACAGAGAAATCTGAGAAAGAGATTCTGGGGGTCCTATTTTGATTAGGCGCCAAAGCAAAGGCCAAACCCAACAAAAGGAATCATTTTAGGTTTTCAGTTTACCCTTCTTCCCCTTGGCCCAGCTGGACATTTCAAAAGCAAACCAATTGCACTCATAACCAATCATGTGTTTTCTCTTTCATTAAACTTGTGTACTATGTCAAAAATGATGTTCTTATCTCATGAGACTCCCTTTGCTTTAGGGTTTTTTGATAATATAATTCCCAAAGTCATAAAGGTAATAATGTATAAGACAGCACTATGGAGGCATATTAGGGGCTCTTGACATCAACCGCTCCCCATCTACCTGTCGGCCATTTCTAGCTGTCTCCGCGCATTTCGCCACCATCAAACCACACAAAACTGCTTCTCCTTCTCACATATGCGTATGTCTTATTGGCTTTCCCATGTCCATATGTGACCTTAAATATTTTGTGCACATGGACATGGGGTTATATCTATGAGTTTGGTTACATGTTTTCGCGTCTGTTTCTGTAAGTGTTATTGATCATCTAGGACGTTATAGGAGGTAGGGACATGGAACTTCTTTTTCTTGATGAATTAATTAAGGAGACTTTGTACTTTGAACTCTATTTTGTTTTACCCAGGGGGATTGAGTACATTAGGCTAGGCCCAGAAGGCTGCCTTTCTAATTAAGAAAATGTCGATTTTAGTCGATTAAACACGGAATTAGTCTAGCCACCTAAAATACGTTTAGTTGACTATTTGTACTTAGACTATAGACTACGATCGAGAGCAACTTCCAGAGGCTGAAGTTCTTCTCAAAAACCGCTAACCGAAAACATCAAAGGTGTTTGAGTTCTATTGGGTGGTCGGAACACCAGTTGGGTGGCCATTCGTTCTACATGCCAAGTTTGCCAATTCCATATTTGAGTAGGTGGAACTTTAATTCTACACAAAGAGCAAGAATTTGGTGGCTTCATGCATTTACCTTTCTTTCCTTTCTTCGGACTCCATTGTGTTTCTCTTTGTGTAAGGCTTTTGTTTTCTCCTATTCCTTGATGTTCTTATCATCTGAATAAGATATCATTAATATAAACCGAGTTGCACCTTTGTAATTGGTGCAATAATGCCATTTTATTGGAGAAGATAACAAATTATATTGTTACTTAAGCTTCACTTACAGTAGTAATATTGTTTATGTATATGTAGCACATTAATGATTTATGTCGTTTATATCTATTCCATAATTATGTTATCTTATACTGAATAATAATCATACAATGTATAATAATAATGTTGCTTTTAAAATTAAAACACACTCTCTGTATTCCTTTTTATTTATCATTTAATTAACTTTTATATACTTAATTTTAGACCATTGCATGTTAATTATGCAGTGGTATAATAGTAAAGTGAAATTAGAATCTCATACTGAATTTAAGAATATTAATATATACATATTTTAATTCAACATATTTTACAATATAAATATTAAAAAATTATTATTTTTAAATTTAAATTAAAAGAAAAAAAATAAAATTTTAATAATTAAATTGATAAATGTTGATAAGTGTCTTTAACTAAAAAAAATACTAATTATTTTTTTAAATGTAAATTAAAGTTAGTTGTATTGTAATAGTCAACTACTTGCCCATAAGAGTCATTTTAGAGACAGAACCTTAAGGCCTTCTTCGGTCGAAAGCATAGGATGACTTGTAGCCGTACATGTAAAACAATATATATTTTTTAGCATTAAAGCAACTCTTCTTCTTTGCCTGATTTTTTTTTCTCTCATCTGTGTACGATCATCACTTGAAATGAGGACCTTATTTCTAAAAAGAATAAGATTGCTACTAGAATCATAGCACAATATATACGCCCTAAGTGCTCACGAAGGATTATTTAATAATTCTAGTTGTACAAGCATTTTCGAGCTTTTGAATTTTTTTTTATTTGTTTAATATACACCTTTAAAATATATAAATTAAGAGTATATTAATTATTTTTTATTAATTTATATAAAAATATAAAAATAAACTTA